ATCATCAGAGAAATGCAAATTAAAACCACAGTGAGATAGCATCTCACACCTGCAGAATGGCCAACACAAATCAGTCAACAAACATCAAGTGCTGGGGAGGATGTGGAGAATGGGGAACCCTTTTGCACTGTTGGTGGGAATGCAGATTAGTGTAGCCACTACAGAAAGCAATATGGTGATATCTTGAAAAGTAAAAATGGATCTGCCTTTTGACCCTGTGATCCCACTTCTTGGAATATATCTGAAGCAAACCAAAACACAAATTTGAAAGAACATAAGCACTCCTATGTTCATTGTAGCATGTTTTACAATTGCGAAGATATGGAAGCAGCCCAAGTGTCCATCAATAGATGAGTGGATAAAACAACTATGGGACTTTTACACACTGGACTACTACTCAGCTGTAAAAAAAGATTTTTGCCTTTTATGACAATATGGATGGACCTGGCAAATATTATGATAATGAAATAAGCCAGTCAGAGAAAGACAAATATCATATGATTTCATTCATATGTGGAATCTAATGAACAAACTGAACTAACAAGCAAAAGAGAGACAGATTCATTGATAGAGAGCAGGCTGAAAGCTAAGGGGTACGGAGGTTAGTGGGTAAAGGAACTGAGCAAAATGGGAAAAGGACTCATAGACATGGCAAACAGTGTGGTGACTGCAGTGAGGCGGGGATATAAGGGGATAAATGGTAATGGGAAAATAGAATACACATTTTTTAAAAATGGTAATTTCAGGCCCTGGCTTGTGTAGCTCAGTAGATTGAGTGCTGGCTATAAACCAAAGGGTTTACGGTTTGATTCACACTTGGGCACATGCCTGGGTTGCAGGCCAGGTCCTCAGTAGGGGGCATGTGAGAGGCAATCACACACTGGTGTTTCTCTCTCTTTCCCCCTTCCCCTCTCTCTAAAAATGGGTAAATAAAACCTTTATAAATAAAAATAAATAAATAAAGTTGCATTCTCTTAAAAAATGGTAATTTCAGGATAGGATTACTTTTTAAATGTTTCTATGTGCTGCTGAAAGTAATTTAGGACATTTTGACTTATTTCCCATATGAACTCAGTTTCTAGCTTAGATTTATATATTTTGAAATAAAGGAGATATTAGTATTTTTATTTATTAATAACCTGAAAATTTGGGCTTGATCTTGCTGATTTAATTTTTTAATCTCATTTATTGATTTTAGAGAGAGGAGAAAGGAGTGGGAGAGAGACATAGAGAGAGAGGGAGAGGGAGACAGAATGAGTCCGTTGTGCCACTTATTTATACATTCATTGGTTGCTTCTTGTATATATGCCGATCAGGAATCAAACCCAGAACCTTGGTGTGTCGGGGTGGTACTCTAGACATCTGAGATATCCGGTCAGGGCAAATGTTGATTTTTTAAAACTTTTATAAGACACTTATTCTGCTAAATAACTAACACTGGTATTAATACAAGTCTCCATAAAACAATATGTCCTTAATTGTTTTTTGTTGTCTTGTTATGAGGAGACAACCATGCCACATGAGCAACAATCTATGTTTATACCTGGATGGAGCTTAGCACTGTGATCAAATAGAGTTTACAACAAAGTTAATCTGATGATAACATTTAATCCTATGCATTATCAATGTGCTACATGGTGATTAGGCATAAATGTCAAACTGCTCCTATGAATGGCAAATTGATGTTACTTTTGCATCACTGAAGCAAAGGTTTCTAGGATGGGAGAGAGAAAGAGGACTGGTGATTCTAGTCTCTCTCTTTCCTGATAGTGTAAACACTCTTTTTGGTGCTGGAAAACAATCATTTCAATCCAGGACCTTCCTCCTTACCAGAAGATACTGAGACATTTGGTTGCTCTAGATATAAACGCAGTATTAACTTCAATAACTCTGGTGATTTCCTCACCAGTTGTGCCTTGTCTGTATCCAAGCAGCACAATATTAATCATGCATACTGGTAAACTGCACATTACATTGTTTTCTGCTACCATCATAATGAAGAAACTGAGTTTTGATTGAGGAGGGTAAGAAATGAGAGAAAATTGTAGAGTATCTGGCACTGAGAAGGAAAGCTGGCTGGTGTTGAAAAAGGAAAACAAGGGGAAAAAAAGAAAAAAGTAGACCTCAAAAAAATAAAAGCAGGCACAAAATTCATGGGGCAAAGGATTCAAGGGGTAAAATACACAGACATGGGGCAAAAAAGAATGAACTAAAGGCTTACAAAAGGGAAGGGAGGTGTAGAAAACAGGAAGAGACAAGACAAGCTGAGGTCCCTCCACAAACCACAAACAGGAAGTGCATGGAAGCACAGGGTGACATGCACAAAAGGAGTCTGGCAGAATCTGAACTTTATGATTCTCCTTCTCTCACCTTCCCACAGTACAGCCCAAAATTTGGTATAATAATGTGATTTCACAAGCATTTGTTTTGTCTGCATGGTGGATAAGATTAAACCCACAAATTCAACAATATCGGCATAATTCACTGCCCTGTCTAATTTTTAAGCAATTCATTCCTCCCAACTGGATCAGGATTACCCAACTGAAAGAAAGAAACAAATATATACTGTTTATGCCAGAAAATAAAGTGAAACATTAAAAAATTCCAGGTAATGCATTTCTATATACACATGTTGAAACCTTGCTGTAGGATAGAGGACCATTCATAGTGAGAACATTTCTCTTCTTATATTCCCTAAAATTAAAAACATGACTTAAAAAATAATAGTTTTTTAAAAAAATTTTAATTGTTGTTCAAAAAATAATAGTTTTTAATGTTACTGGGAAATAAATACCATAGTAGTAGTCTGCATGTTTGCATTATTCTTTTATCAATGCATATAAAGAAAAACCTACACAGTTTTAAAGGGTAAAAAAATGACTACATTAATTCTTCAAAATATTGTTCTACTTCACTATAATTTGATTATACATAAAAGACGAAAAAGCTTCAATTATTCAGTAGGAGTCAGAAATTTGTTTGCCTTTTGTAGTTTAAATTTAAAATATCCAATGGAAAAAAGGGAGAACTAAATCACATTTAGGTTTCATTCTTTGCTCATTCTGACTACTGCACAAAGAACCGTGGAACTAAGTGGGACAGGAGAAATGTGATCAGTTTTCCATTTCAGAGTGCTATGTATGGACTTGCTAGTTCCACAGAGAAAAATGCTTTCCTAAACATTTTACCACAAGGGGATTTCTTAGCAAAGTGTGACTCTTAATGAGATTAATATAAATGTGTCAGTATAATAAAGAGCCTAAATCAACTCATTAAACCTTTGGAAAGTGAATATCTGTATATTTAAAACATATATATGAGGTAAACTGTAATGCAAGTCTCTACTACAAAATGAAGGAACCATAATCAATAATATGAAGGGAGCCACTTTAAAATAGAGCTAAAGCTGCCATGCCAGAGGAACTGTCTTGCACAACTTATGTCTCAAATCATCAGGAAGTTTTTGGAAAATATGGTTAAATAACCTTCAGACCATTCCTAAGAGACCTGTTTGTAAAGCTAATAAGAAAGCAATTATTATGACTACTGGATTAGTTGTCATTAAAAACATTGTCTATAATTATCACCATGTGTGTTATGTTATCTTTACCAATAGAAATTTCTTCCTTCCATTGACCTTCCCTTTCTCATAAATACTCATTACCTTTTGTGCCTAAATCCAAAAAAATTGGGCTTCTACCTGAGTCAGTGTTTCCAGAATAGATATTCTTATTGATCTCAAAAAACACTAGTTTGCCTCTCACTTTGAAAGAACTTTACTTTTAGGCTAACAGAATTTCATATAAACACAGCAGGCTCAAATGACAAATGTTGATTCTCTGACATTTAGACACAGTCTGAGGAAGTTATGGCAAAATTATTACAGCACAAAGTACTCCATCTTGGTAAAATCAAAGCAAACTGCATGGCTCCAAAACAAGCAACCACCACCACAAAATAACTATAATAAACATGCCCTTCTATGAAAAATCTCTGCAGTGTTTCTCCTTCTAGAAATTAAACCAGATAGGACAAGGCATACCAGGATTTCTAATAACATGTTAGATCTTCTATACTGCTTAATTCTAGAAAGCATTTTATTTGGTTTAATCATCACAGGAACCCTGTGATCTCAGATGAGGGCACACAGGTATAACAAGCTGAAATATTTTGCCCACAGGAGGCAAAATAATAGAATAGAAAGAACAATGGTCCTGGCCAGGGAGTTCAGTTGGTTAGATCATTGTTCTGATATACCAAGCTTGTGAGTTTGATCCTCAGTCAGGGCACATACAAGAAGCAAACAATGAATGCATAAATGGGTGGAACAATAAATAGATGTTTCCCCTTCTCTCTCTTTCTCTCAAATCAATAAACATTAAAAAAAGAAAAAAGCATTGGTTTTAGAGTCGTGATAGACCTTGTTCTGAAGCACACCTCTGCTACCCTGCCACTTACAAGCCATGAGACAATAGGCAATCTCTTTAGGCTCAGCTTCCTTATTCATAAAATGAAAATATTAATACTTATCTCACAAAATTGTTGTAGGATTCAATGAGAGAAAATATATAAAGTGCTTGGCACAATCCCCAGCAGATGTTAAGTGCCTAACAAAGCATAATTTTCCCATTTACCCATTGATCTTGACCAAGCCATTTAAAGTGTTGGCCTCTCCTCTTTTATATCCAAGGAATGATAATAACAATGTCTACTTTACAGAGTCCATGTGATAATGACATCCAATTTTCTTTACAGTGAGTACTGGAATGATATGTCTACATATGCATAAACTTAAATTAAAAAAAATACTTATCTAATGAATGGCAGAAATGAAAGTAGAACCTGAATCTCCTTCCGACATTTAGTCCTCTGAGTACCAACACAGCTAGATACTCCTTATTCTACTATCCAAGTACAGAAGAACACTTTCTTACAACTCCATTCAGGAACCTAGAAACACCCATGAAAATGATTTTTTAAAAGGAAAATATGCAAGTTACCTGAATTAAGGCCTCACTCAGCATGTCTTCGTTGACCTCCAAAATGATATTTTTAATATCTTCATATGGCATACGATATGATCCGAGGAAGATAGCTAAAATAAAAATTAGAGTTTAGTAAAAACAGAACAGCATCCAAATTTTAACATTCTAATAAATGCCTGATTCTCATTTGACAGAATCAAATTTTGAAACTTCTGTCACTAATATTAATTTATAGAGTTATGAACAAACAAAAGTACTTCCCATTCAATGTACTGTACAATTCATCTAAATACAATGGCCTAAGTAAAATAATTCCAACACAGCACTATTCGGGAATAACAATAACGTAACCAAATACAAGAAAAGCATATCAATCTACTGTGTAGTTCTCATATATAAGAAAAAATTTAAGTGTCTGAATCATCACTGCTTTCTGCATTCCTGCTGACATTTATGTGGTGTACTGTTAGTTGCTTTATATGTTGGATTTCGATTTCCCTTGTCAATATCTTTATTGAGTATATATTCTGTCATATTGAGTTTAATTAATTAAATTACATCTACAAAGCTTACGCTTAACTCAGAAGGTATTTTTTCCAACAATACATTACAGTTTAACCTCCATTAAACATACTTTTTAAAGAACATTTGTGTGTTCTTATCATCAGAACCAGAATATATCCCTAAGATTTTTTTTTTCCATGAAAGGACCCACATGATTTCACTGAGACTTAAAAAAACAAATTCTTACTGTTTATGCACATGATTACCTAGAAATAAACATCAAATGAGATAACCATAATCAAAATTAATAATGTTGACAGATACCAACTAGCAATTAAGAGCATACTGTATTTTTAAAAACATACTGAACATCCACTTTATAAAGAAAATGTACTGTCAGATAAGCATTATACACACTCACAAGAGCTATTAGGCGACTGCTTTTATGACAGCAGCATTCTGACTGACAGGAGAATGATGAGTTGTTTATTTTAATCTGATTCCCTATAGCACATTCCTTAACAAAATAAACTCCTATGGTATCTCATTGAGTAATTAGAAATGCTTGATGTGTTGCAATTTTTCATGCATAGTGTTTTAGTAGCCTCAGAATATAAACACAGTCTACTCTGGTGACAAAAAATATGCTAAATTCAATACAGAGGGGAGAATTTATCAAAGTAAAACTGAAGGCCTACTTAAATGATGGCTTTAACTGTCCAGCTGCTCAGCAAAAGTATACTAAAGGCTGGCTGGTTGTCAAAGGCCTGAAGGTTTAGTGACCAGTTTTAAAGTACAGTAGTTAATAATTTAAGTAGTTCACATCACAATTACTTCAAATGTAAAGGAATAGCAGAAAAAGATTTGTCCAATATGATTAGTGAATGCTCTAAAACTCTCATTCCCAAGTCTATGCAGAAGGAAAAGAAATACCAATATTTTCAACTCTGCCTTATATCTCACTGAGTCCTCTAACAATGCCTAATTATCATTACTTTCCAAAGCTTTATTATTTATAAATTTCATCAAGCCTGAGGAATGTTATGATGGCTCCCATTCTGGCTGAATGACAAAAAGACAAACCAAATCATGTTTACACAGAATTTTGTTTTTAGTAAATGCTAAATATACCTGTTCAAAGAAGTTACAATTCTGTTTAAATACATTCAAAAACCACCCTCTCTCCTTCACCCCCTAGGCAGGAAAATTCACATACACAGATTCTGGGCAGTTTTGGGATCCAAAACTCTCAATTCTCTCACTTTCTTCTTTGCAGGTTGGGTCTTCTTCTCTTCTAAAGCGTCTGCATTCTTTTGTACTGAAAGAAAAATTGATTCATAAACAATGATGGCACTAATCCAAGTACATGTAATAACATTTGCAAGGCATACTAACTATATTAATAAAGCTCATGCCAAAATCAATAAATGTGTTTATTTCATTAGTTCGAGTAAGAGGATAAACATAAAAATATAGACCTCTTTAGAGGTTTCTCTACAAATTAAATATCAGCACTTAAGCAGAAAAGATAAGCCAAATAGAACCAAAAATCAATTGCTGCTTTTTAACTAATGTGCAACATTAATTACTACTTTACCAGGTACCTACAAGAAGCACTGGAATTAATTGTAAAATCTCCCTAATTTGGACTAATTGAGGAAAAGACATGCATTTATCGTACATTATGTTAAAATTTAGGCATGTCTTTCATTTAGTGAAATTGCTTTAAAGTACCTAAGGTAACTTTAACTGCTAAACAAGTTGCCATATAAAAATTCCTGCAAACACTGCTTTGAAAAATAGATTATGAACCATTTGCAAGTTGCACAACACTAGCACACATTCACATACACATAGTTAACAAACTTCAAAGACAGGGTCTTTTGAGTAAGCTACCTTTGTTTTTCTCATCATTTTTTTAGTACTATTTGCTTTCTTAGAATAAAAGATACATTTATAGTGTATTAAGAAGGTAATTCTCAAGCCCTGGCTAGCCGTAGCTCAGTGGATGGAGCACGGGCTGCAAACCAAAGTGTCGCAGGTTCGATTCCCAATCAGGGCACATGCCTGGGTTGCAGGCCACGGCCCCCAGCAACCGCACATTGATGTTTCTCTCTCTCTCTCTTTCCCTTCCCTCTCTAAAAATAAATAAATAAAATCTTAAAAAAAAAAGAAGAACAGACACATGGATCAATGGAACAGAATAGAGAGCCCAGAAATGAATCCAAGTCTCTATGGTAAATTAATATTTGACAAAGGGGGCAAGAGCATAATATGGAGTATAAATACTCTCTTCAACAAATGGTGTTGGGTTAATTGGAATAGTACATGCAAAAAAGTGAAAATAGACCACCAACTTACACCATACACCAGAATAAACTCTGAATGGATAAAAACCTAAAACATAAACTGTGGCACCATAAAATTCTATAGGAAAACATAGGCAGGAAACTTCAGATGTCTCATGCAGCAATATTGTTGCAGATATATCTTCTAGGGCAAGGGAAATAAAGGAAAGAGTAAATGAATTGGACTATATCAAATTAAAAAAACTTCTGCATGGATAGGAAACATCATCAAAATGAAAAGAGAACCAACTTTATGGGAAGACATATTTGTCAATGATACCTCAGACAAGAGTTTGATCTCCAAAGTATATACAGAACTCACATGACTCAACACCAGGAAGACAATCCAATTAAAAAAAATGGGCACAGGGCCTGAACAGATACTTCTCCAAGGACACACAGAGGGTCCAAAGGTATATAAAAAGATGCTCAGCATCACTAGCCATCAGAGAGATGCAAATCAAAAGTACAGTGAGATACCACTTTACACCAGTCAGAATGGCCATCATTAACAAATCAATAAACAACTAATGCTGGTGAGGATGCAGAGAAAAGGAACCTAGCACACTGTTGGTGGGAATGCAGACTGGTGCAGCCTCTGTGAAAAACAGTATAGAATTCCCTTAGAAAACTAAAAATGGAACTGCCTTTTGATATAGCGATTCTGCTGCTAGGATTATACCCTACAAATCTTGAATCACCAATTCTAAAGAACCTATGCAGCCCAATGTTCATAGCAGCATTACTTAAAACAGCCAAGTGTTGGAAACAGCCTGAGTGCTCATCAATAAATCAGTGGATCAAAAAGCTGTGGTACATTTACACAGCATAGCAGAAAGAAAGAAGGAACTCCTACTTTTTGCAACAGCATGGACGGAACCAGAAAATATTATGCTAAGTGAAATAAGTCAGGTGGCAAAAGAGAAATACCATATGATCTCACCTATAAAAGGAACCTAATGAACAAAACAAACAAATAAGTAAAACAGAACCAGAGATATGGAAATAAAAAACTGATAGTGACCAGAGCGGAGGGGTGGGGATAAGAGGGTAAAGAAGGGCAAAGGTCTGTCTAGTCAAGGAACAAGTACAAATGACCCATGGACATGGAAAACAAGATGGGAATCAACCGTGTGAGCTGAGACAGGCAGGGCAGAGGAGAGCAACAGGGGAATACTGGGACAAATGTAACAGAACAACAATGAAAAAAAATTCAATGGATATTTCTCCAACAAGACATACAAATGAACGACAGATATAAGAAAATATGTTCAATGTTTCTAATCATCAGGAAAATGCAAATTCAAAATCACAATAAGATATCACCTCACATCTTTTTATATGGCTATTATGAAAAAAGGAGTGTTAATGAGAATGTGGAGTAATTGAAACCCTTCTACACTATTGGTAGGAATATAAAATGGTGTACCCTCTTAGGAAAAAAGTATGATGATTTCACGAATATTAAAAACAGAACTATCATATGATCCAGCAATCCCACTTCTGGGTATATATCCAAGAGAAGTGAAATCAGGATCTCATACAGTTATCTCCATTCCCATCTTTACTGCAGCATTATTCACAATAGCCGAAATGTCGAAGCAGCCGATATGCCCATTAAGGAATGAATGGATAATAAAAATGTTACACACACATGCCCACCCAGTTTGGAATATCATTCAGCCTTTAAAACTAAGGAAACCCCACCATATGCAACAGCATGGATGAACCTGGAGGGCATTAATCTTAAGTGAAATAAGAAAATCACAGAAAGATAAAGTGTTTACATAAGTAATCTAAATGCTTTTTATGTTACTGATATACACAACCTAAAATGTCAAACTCATAGAAACAAAGAGTAAAACAGTGGGTGCCAGGGGTTGAAGGGTGGGGGAAATAGTGAGCCAGTTCAAATGGAATAAAGTTTCAGTTATACAAGATGAAATTTTAGAGATCTACAGTACAGCATTGTGCCTACAGTAAACTATACTGTGCACTTAAAAATTTGTTAAGAGGGTATAGCTCTTGTTAAATGTGCTTATAACAATAAAATATAAATTAATTAAAAACTTAAAATAAATTATAGAGATTCCATAATTATTTGAAATTACTTGGATGAGACTGAAGAGATTTTAAGTCTCAATACCATAACTTCAAGAAGTCATTTTGTCATCAATGGCCCTATGGGACTCAGGTTCAACATGAGGCCTCCAGTCAAATGCACTCTCTCCCTGTGCATATGAAAAACCATACAGCCACTTGGTTTGAATCCAATGGATTAAATTGAGAGCATAAATTGGCACTGTTAGTCAACCAAATAATAATGAAACATTATAAAATCCTGTCTAAGAAGATGATATAATAAAAACATTTGCATTATTATTAAAGATATACTAACATTAAGATACATTAAGACAGTGCTTGTCTTAGGGTAGCAAAGTGATAATGGAATGAGTAGAACCTTGGAAACTTTCACTTTATCTCTAATGTTTCACTTCTTTAAAAGCAAAGAGCTGTAGTAAAAATGAGAAAATGTTAATATTTGTTCGCTCTAGGAGCCTGGTACATGGGTGTTTGCTATATTAGCCTTTGCAAATTTCTATTTTTCAACATAAAAATAAAAATGATATGACTAAATTACATAAATAAACCTATCCCTTTTTATAATGTATGAAGTGTTAGCTTTGGCAATCTCAAGGACCAAGTATAGATAGGAATCAGAAACAATAGGGAGAAAATAATAAAAAAAATACAGGTAAAGATCAGTCAGTTTGGTCAGCAAGCACAATTTTCTTTGCAATTGGTTTTTAAATCTATTTTGTAAGGAATAACACATTTGTTTACCAAACCTAGACAGGAAAAACTGATGCAATATGGACTAAAAGACTGCATTTCAATCTCCCCTTACGTGCTGCATATCACAGATGGGAAGTGTCCCCTCTCTGTGTTGCCTGCAGATGTGCACTAACAAAGGCATCCCACAGAAAGGCAGATTTCATTCTGACACCTGCATAGTACCTGAAGCCATAGGAATGGCATTACCAGGAGTGTTCTCGAAAGTTTACTGCACATTAAACAAGAGTAATGGTTCTGATGTTGGGAATCACACACACATACTTTGTAATGATGTCTTAATTAAGGAACAAATCTTACTGGTTGTAGTTTAGACAAGAACCCCCCAAATCAGGCAGCACATGTTACTGCAAATTAACATCTGCCCAACCAATATACTTGTACACCTGTTCATTAAGCCAATTACTGAAAACCACTAAATGTCACCATAACACTATGTTTAATGACATCCACTAGCTAATGTATATTTTCTTTTGCAAAAATATTTTTATTTACTTATTTTTAGAGAGAAGGGAAGGGAAGGAGAAAGTGAGGGAGAGAAATAGCAATGTGTGGTTGCCTCTCGCACGCCCACTACTGAGGACCTGGCCCACAACCCAGGCATATGTATGTCCTGACCAGAAATCAAACTGGCGACCTTTTGGTTCGTAGGCCAGTGCTCAATCCGCACCAGACAGGGTGCTAATATATATTTTCAATGGGGCCTCAACAACTCAGCAGGCAATGTATATTTTAGGAAGAACAAATAAAGTTGGGTTAGAGGTTTTAGGTAGAATTTTCCTTGTTTGAAGTGACAATTTAAATAACAAAACTGAAGTAACCTCAACCTGGTATAGTATTTGACAAATGAGGTTGTGGGAGTTCTTCCTTTTAACATTTAACAGATATGAAGTACCTTACTAAAAAGCTATAGTTAATCCCTCTACTGTTAGGTTGGCTCTGGCTTTGTAAGTATGGATTGATGTTTTTCTGGGCACCTCATGCATTCAGATAACCTCCTATTATGTTACATTTCCTAATTCATGTCACAGATCAGTTAACTGCAGCAATGAATCCCAAGGGCTATGTGTGTCAAAGAGGAGTACTAAGGAAAACATAACAGTAGAAATCAGTATGA